GACAAGCTATGCGGTTCCCATGCACCAGCTACTCCTTGGAAGGAACACTGGGCGATCTACTTCTATAGAGATACAGGTCTCGGAAACCCAAGGAGGGGTGGCTATGAGTCGCAATCGACTGGGCAGCTGTGAGTTTGAGTTATGCGGGCTTTAGAAATACAGTAATAAACTGCTTAGCCGATAAATAGTTCATTTCAGAGCAGGAGCTCTATAAAATTACATTTGTTGTTGTTGTGTGCCGTTGAGTCGGACCCAACTCATAGCAACCCCTCCTTGGGTTTCCGAGGTGGTATCTCCACAGAAGTAGATTGCCCAACCTTCCTTCTGAGGACCGGCTGGCGGGTTTGAACCACCAGCTTTCTGGTTAGCAGTCAAACACATACACACTCTATTCAAAGCTGTTGTTCAACTGGCCTAATGGGAATGGGAATGCTACTGCTGCAGAATTCCACAGTCAGACACACACACACACACACACACACACACACAGAGAGAGACTGAGAGACGGAGACAGAGAGAGAGAACATCGTGCTGTTCTTGTGAATCCAAATTCTACCTATTTCTGCAAGGCTCAGTTCAGTGTCCTTCCTTCCTTACTAGGGCCATGAGGTAACCCTGCTCCCCAGGAATTTTTTCCTCTCCTTAAATAAAGGAAAGAAAAAGTGCCATTCACTAAGCATTTATATATTGGTGTGTGTTGATTTTTAGTGGGAGCTCTGGTGGCATAGTGCCTAAGACGTTGACTGCTAACCAGAAGACTAGTGGTTCAAACTCACTAACCTAATTTGAGTGTCAAGTCCTTGAGAGACACCATTTCTTGCACTTCTTTGTAATCCAGTGCTTCATCAAATACAAAATACCTCAGGTACAAACCCACTGCCATTGATTCGACTCCAACTCACAGCAGCCCCCATTGGCAGTAAGTCTTTACAGAAGTAGATTGCCCAGTCTTCCATCAGTGGAGTGACTGGTAGATTTGACCTGCCAACCTTCAAGTGGCCTAGGCACTAGGCCACCAAAACCAAACCAAACCAAACTCACTGCCGTCAAGTCGATTCCAACTCACAACGATCCCTTCTTAGGTTTCTGAAGCAGTATCACTATGGAACTGAATTGCCCAATCCTCCTTCTGAGGAGTGGCTGGTGGGTTTGAACCGCCAGCCTTCTGGTTAGCAGTCAAGTGCCTTAGGCACTATGCCACCAGAGCTCCTGAATAAAACTTAAGAATTTATAATTCCCCTAATGTGAAAAATGCTAATATGGTTTATTATATTATTATTATAGTATGTAAGAAATCATATGATTTGTTCCCTCACCTCTTTCAAAAGGCTGTCATTGGTAACCCATTCAAAATTGTACCCCCTCCTCCACCGACTTCAACATTCCTATTCTCACAGGGTCCACAGCACCTAATAACAACTCTCTTTCCCTGCTCTATTTTTCTTTGTTGAATATAGGCTCTAACACACTACACATTTTACTCATTAGTTCCCATATAAAGGGATTTCTGTCTCTGTTTTGTTCACTGCTGAACCTCATGCCTGGCACTTAATAAACAATCAGTTGTCAACTGTTGAATGAAAAAATGAATGAGTAAATTAATCAATCAAAAACAAGAATGGATAAATTGAGGGATTATTATTTCAGACAATGAAATTATCCTTTATCTCTTAAAAATATTAAAGCAAATTACTTTTACAGTATGACAGAAAGTGCTTACTTAGTTCATTCACTGAAAATGCCCCTTAAAACTCCCTTATGTTATCAATCAATATACTTGGTTTAGCTTGACTTCTTTCCTTTCATTATCAATCATTTTTCTTTTATGAATAACACAAGGTATTTGTGAATTACATCAGCAATTCAGTAACAGGAACTGCAGGAACAAGGAAGTGTGGCAATATCATAATCTGGGCCCACCAGGCAAGCCAAACAATTTAGCTTTACTCACCTTCCCTATTGGAGGTACCTGCTTTAAAAGAATTACCCAGTTACGTGACCTCACAGTCAACTCACCAGATTGCTTAATGGCTTGAACTAATCTCCACTTCTGCCTCACTTATTGCTCTTCCAGGGACAATATTTCTGCTGCAGTAGTTTAGGCAAAGACTGTGTGTCACCTCCTAACAGCCCTGTGAATTCTTTAACAAGTTCCATAGTGTCATCCTCTGAATATTTTAAGCTTTACAGTACAGTGCATATGGAGCTCTGGTGACACAGTGATTAAAGCATTTGACTGCAAACCAAAGGTGTGGGAGTTCGAACCCATCAGCTGCTCTGCAGGAGAGAGATGAGAATCAGTCTGTTTCCAAAAAGATCTACAACTGTGGAAGCCCTATGGGACAGTTCTTCTCTGTCCTATTGTGTTGTTGTTATGCTGTCGAGACCCGACTCATAGCGACCCCTCCTTGGGTTTCCGAGGCAGTATCACTACGGAAGTAGATTGCCCAACCTTCCTTCCTTCTCTGTCCTATAGGGTTGCTATTAGTCAGAATTGACTGGACGGCAGTGGGTTTGGTTTTGGTTTGGTTACAGTGCAAATTATCATTTGATAATGACAAGCTATTGAGTCACCATATTCCTTCCTGGCTGCAGGGAAGGGGACAGGGCAGATGGAGATAACTCTAATACCTTGGAAGAGTTACAGTCTGATCTGGACCTACCCTTTCTGACAAAACTGCACACTTAAACCTACATATCTGGCACAGATTTAAAAGTAAAAATCAAGTTGGACCTTCTCTAGAGCTTAACAGTAATTTAAGCTATTGAATAGAGAATAAAACATTTTCTTTCCTTCATAGCAACACTCCAAAATCATATTTATCACCTTTAATGAAAACCCACTACACTAAAACCCTTACTTGACATTTAGAGCCTTCCCCAATCTTATTTCCTCCTCATTTTTCTATGCCCTGCCTAAATCTCATCAACTCTACGAGAACTTCTCAAGGTTCATTCAGAATTTCTCCCCCAATCTCACAGTACTTTGTCTCATACTTCTTTTTATTAAACATGGCACCTATTTGACTATGTGCCTACCTGGCCACAAGCCTGAAAGTCCCTGGAATTAAATGCATGATTGCTAGAAATGTGCCCCACAGAGTGCTTTAGGCTTTTAGCCACTCAAGACCAAAAAAAAAAAAAACAAAAAAAACCCAGCATTGTTTTCAAGTCAATTCTGACTCAAAGCAACCTTATAGAACAGACTAGAACTGCCCCATAATGTTTCCAAGGCTGTAATTTTAGGGTAGTAGAATGCCACATCTTTCTCCCATGGAGCAGCTAGTGGGTCAATCCTTTTAATTGCCAGTCAAGCGCTTAAACACTGAGTCATCAGGGTTCCTTTAACCACTCAGTAAGTGTTGTACTTTCATACTTAGAATTTTCCTATGGTGATATTCATCCCCTTAATCAAAAACTTATGGGAGAACAATTATCATGTCAAGTATTGGCTTGGCCACTGAGGACCAAGGATCACAGACCACACCAGGCATCTGAAGACAGGAGAATATTTTCTGCCTATCCTGTCTCTCACATATTTTTCATGCCACCTTGCCCAAGATTTTCTGGCCCCCACTGCTCCCATTTGCAGTACCTACCACCCAGCCTTTGTCTAAACCACCCAACTCACAGTGACTTAAGAAGAGTGTCTTGAACCTCTCTGAAGAAACACTGTGGTGTAAAGTGAAGGGCAAAGATTGTGATAAGGCAGAGACTAAAATCCCAATCCCTTCATTACTACCTTTGCGACCTTGAGCAAATCAGTGAGTGTTTTTGAGCCTCAGCACCCTCACTTGTGAAACAAGGGCATACAAATGCCATCTACCTCACCAGGATACAGTAAACTCACACACTCATTCACTGCAATCGAGTCGGATCCGACTCATAGCGACCCCTCCTTGGGTTTCCGAGGTGGTGTCACTATGAAAGTAGACTGCCCCAAGCTTCCTTCCGAGGAGTAGCTGGTGAGTTTGAACCGCCAGCCTTCTGGTTAGCAGCCAAACGCCTTAGACACTAAGCTACTAGAGCTCCCGGGATATAATAAAGAATATTTTTAAATGGTAGGGAAGACGAATGAAGCCACTCCGGTAACTTAGGTATTCATAAAGCTTAGCTCTCTTCCTCGAAAACGTTAAGGGCCGCCGGACTCCAAACTGGCAAAGACCGGAGGGCGGCTGTGCGCAGCGCGACTCTTGCACATCTGACCAATATACCGTCCCCGCGGTCGGCGATGACCCAGTCCCTCCCGCCCCCCGCCCCACAGAGCCTCACCTTGGTGGTCGTAGACGCTAATGTAGGAGATGCCCACTGCCATACACCACACCACGAGGCTCGCAATGTCCGAGAAGCTAGGTTCCTGCTCCTCTTCAGTGATCACCAGGCCCATATGCACCGGCAGCTTCTCCAGGGAACGGCCGTCAGCGCGCCAGCGCAACCGGGGATGGGCGGCGACCGGGCCCGGCCCCCCACGCGGATGCCGGTGATGCCGGCGATTCCTGCCAGCAACCGAAGACTTGCGGAGCGTGAAGCCGAGCGGCGCTAGGACCGCGGCGGAGGCGGCACGGCGGCAGCGCCGCCAGATCCAGTTCCAGGTGCCGAACCGAACGCGGAGCCAGGAGGTGAGCGTGCGGTGCAGACAGAGCAACGCATGTAGCACCCGCCACACCAGCTCATACAGCCCCGTCATACTCTCGTGGCGCCTGGTCGTCCTTCCCTCCCTCCCTCCTACACCCGCGGCGCAACGAATTCTGATCCGCCCCTGCGGCCAGCGCGGGCCATAGCTTCAGATCCCCCCGCCCCCCGCGCCCGAACCCCTGTCTACCGCCAACACCTCACCTCGCGCCCGCCGCCATCTTCCTCCTACCCTGGCAGCCCCACCCCCGGTAGCACATGGACATTTTTGATTGGCCGGCGCGGAGCTCTGACGCGGCTTCTGGGTCGGAGGATAGAGGATGTAGCCTAGTCTGCTGTGGAGAGGGAGGGTGCGAGTCTGCGAGCGGGGAGGCCTGGGATCATGGGCGCCCCCTCCCTGTGCGGAGGACAGGGAGTCGGCGACAAGAGCCCATGCGAGTCGATCCCCAAGCCAAACATCTTGGTTCTAATGGGCAATTCCAGGAACCCGATGTGTCTTGTGTACTGGAAGTTTTATAATGTCACCTCACACAGTCCATCCAGAAACAGTTTCCAAGGAATAAAAATTGCCCAAGTGCATTGGGGGGAAAAAAAAAGAAGCCAGAAAGGCGCTATCACTAAGTATTCACACTGGGGATCAGACAGGGTCTCAAAAAGGAAAATTGTCCGTAAGTGTGCCCTTCATGAGGTCCCAAGACAGTTCTTTGGTCAGATCTAGCTGAGGCTAATTTTTCCTAGAGTGGAAGTGAGGATCTTTAGTAATTTTCTTGCAATGCGATTCTTCCCGTATCATTTACTCTACCGGGAATCCTTACTCGGCTGTCCCTTGCTGAGTAAAGGCAGCCCGCGGCCTATGATGGTTTACCCGTGGGTTTTCTTTTCCTAAGTCAGAAGTCAAATACCCCTTTTATTTATTTATTTTTAAGTTTTCATTACTGTTGTCTCTTATTATCTGTATCTTTATAAATCCGATCTTTATTTGTCTTTGGGGGTTGGAGAAATTATATATAAATATCTGCAAGTTAACATTTGAATGATAACATCAGCAAATTCCATGCTGAATGTATATTCTGATGGTCATCAGTGGTAACTTGAACAGGTCATAAAATTGGGGACTAATTGTACATAAAAGTGACACTCTGCTGCCTAGTAACCCAATCACTTCATTATTTTATTCATTCATTTAGCAAGCAATTACTCAGAGTTACAGTAGTAAGGAAACTAGACATGGCGCCTGAACTCAGCCCATCCACTGTTTGATTAAGTTGCCTGCCCATCCAGCCTTATCATCTCCTTCATAAACTCTAACATTCCCACCAACCTGGACTAAGATGTGGTCCTCCAAGCCAGTTCTATACTTCCCTGAAGCATTTCTGTATGCCTTTTTGCCCATTTTCCTCAGGCTCCTCACTCCTCCTGAATTCCATTTTCCCATGTAGATAATTGCCCAAATCCCAACCCATTCTTATATGCCACCTCCTCCATCAAGCTGTCTGGTGATTCCCTAATTTAATCTCTCCCTTCTTGTAAATCTCATGGCTGCTTGTAAATTTCATATTGTTGTTAGGTGGTGTCCAGTCTCTCTAACTCATAGCGACCCTGTGTGTAACAGAGCGAAACACGGCCCAGGCCTGTGCCAGCCTCACAACCCCTGCTACATCTGAGCCCATCTTTGCAGCTACTGTGTCAATCCATCTCATTGAGGGCCTTCCTCTTTTTCATTGACCCTATTAATTTCATAGTTCTATTTATAGCCTTTCCCATTTTTCATTATATATAGTACAACAATTTAATTTTTGTAATTAGAAAAACCAGTTGCTACATGGTGCAAATGGTTAAGTGTTCAACTATTAGCTGACTATTGGACTCAACTTAACGGCAACTAACAACAAAAGCTCTGGTTGTTGTTGTCGTGTGCCGACAAGTTGGACCCGACTCATAGCGACCCCTCCTTGGGTTTCCGAGGCAGTATCACTACAGAAGTAGATTGCCCCATCTTCCTTCCAAGGAGTGGCTGGTGGGTTTGAACTGCCAGCCTTCTGGTTAGCAGTCAAGTGCCTTAGGCACTACGCTACCAGAGCTCCTTGGAAACCCAAGGAGGGGTCGTTATGTATCAGTTCCAACTTGATGGCACATAACAAAAACAATTTAAAAAGAAAAAAAAAAAAGTTTCCATCCAGTCAGTTCTGACTCATGGCAACCACGTTTGTCAGAGCACAACTCAGCTTCATAGAGTTTTCAGTGGCTGTTATCTTTTGGATGTAGGTCACAGGCCATTTTCTGAGGTGCTTCTGGGTGGATTCCAAACACCAACTTTTCTTTTAGTAGCCAGGTGCTTAACTACTACCTAATATTTGTTCTCTCAAGCCCCTTTTTCCACTGGAAAGCATCTCTTAACATCTTGGCTACATGCCTTAATTATTCAGTCATTGTTACTTTTCAACTAGCCTCATTTAAGATTCACTTTTTTTCCTAAAACTTGAAAATCAGAAAATCATATCCATCTTAAAATTTTCCTTGTCAGTAGCTCAGCCTGAGGAAATGAAGGCTGGGAACCTTCAGGCACTTCTACCATTCCTAGTCTCCGCTGCACTAACTCCACTTGTGTTAGGCAAAGAAAACACCAAAAAAACAAAAACACAATAAGCAGACAAACAAAACATTAAGAAATGTTGCAACTCATGGCAACCCCATGTGTTTCAGAGTAGAACTGTGCTCCCTGGGGTTTTCAATGGTTGTGACCTTTCAGAATTAGATCTCCAGGCCGTTCTTCTGAGGTTCCTCTGGGTAGCTTCAAATTGCCAACCTCTGCAGTTAGCAGGGCTTAACCATCAGCACTACCTGGGGCCACCCAAGGCAAAGAAGAGGGCGAGGGAAGAACCATGAGCACGAAGCCTGCAATCTTCTTTCCCGCTGGTCATGGCTGCTGTTCTACATCTTTGTTTGTGTGGCTCCAGGATGTTCTGCTGAAGAAGCTTCCTAGTCACCAGCGTCCCTTTGAGATTTGGATACATAGTCTTCAGACCTGCCAGCTGATACCCTGCTACATTTCTCTGACATATTCACCTCTTTGTCCCAATATTTGCCAGTTCCAATTGATGAGCCAGAAGTCTCATCTCCCCATGGCCAGTTCTAAGATCTGCAGGCACATTCAGGGAGCATCTTTTGTGCTTCTCTGAATTTTAAACTTGAGGGGAAAGGTCCTGGCTCTGTCTACATCTCATTCCCCACCCCTGCCGACCCCTGTACATGCAAATCAAACAAACTTTCCCCAGTTGCTTTGTATCCAGGTACAAGTTAACTGGTTGGAGGTTCAAGTCTAACCATAAGTGCCTTGAAAAAGAGGCCTGGCAATCTACTGAGAAATCTGCCATTGAAAACCCTATGGAGTGCAGCTCTACTCTATACATATGGGGTCTGTACATACTCCATGCATATATATGTACTCTATACAAATGGAGCACCATCAATCAGAATCAACTCAACAGTAACTATTATTTTTTTTATTTCTGTGAGTTAGCAACCATTCATGATCAATGCCCAAATCAACCAAACTCACTGCCGTCACGTCAATTCTGACTCATAGAAATCCCTCTTTGGGGCAACGTACTTAAGTAGTGATACCGCCTCGGAAACCCAAGAAGAGGTCTCTATGAGTCGGGCCTGACTCCACAGCAATGAGTTCAGTTTTGGTTTGGTATCTCTATGGAAGTAGATTGCCCAATCTCCCTTCTGAGGATTGGCTGGTGGGTTTGAACCACCAACCTCTGGTTAGCAGTCAAATGTCTTAGGCACTACACCACCAGAGCTAGAATAACTAAAAAGAGAAATGTCTCTTCACCTACAAGTGTACTGTATACTTTATACTTACATCCATATACTTTATATAACCAAAAAAAAAAAAAAAAACTCACTGCCATGGAGGCTATTTTGACTCAGCTACCCACATTGGGTTTCTGGGGTTATAAATCTTTACAGAAATAGATTGCCCCATCTTCTGGGTTTGAACTGTTGATTTCTGGTTAACAGCCAAATACCTTATCTACTACACCACCAGAGCTCCTTTATACAGGAAGGGCAGGACAATCTGTTAACTGCTTGATTCTTTACTAGTTTTCAAAACAATGTTTAGGTTTCATAGCATATTACGATAGTGACTAACTTGTGTGTGTGTGAGTGTGTCCTTTATTTAATATTATGGTGAGCTTTTAGACTTCATCACATTCCATGTGTTTCAGTACTTTGCAAATATTATTCTTATTGATGCTGAAAGTGCTCCAACTGCAGGCAGAGTAGACCCCTTCAAATTGACTGGGGAATCTTTTTGATAATAACTCTTTGATAGCTTGTATGACAAGATACATTAGGCTCACTTTTACTTATCCTACCCCAGACTGGGAATCAATCATTTCTTTATGAAATTGTTTAAAAAAAGAAATAAAAAATATTAGAAACTACTAACAACCGTGCTGCTGGTAGTCTTTTTATTTTATTTTATTGTAAATCTTGTTGTTAGGTGCTGTCCAGTCAGCTCCAACTCATACCAACCCTATGCACAAACAGAACAAAACACTACCTGGTCCTGCATCAGACGCACAATCCTTGCTGTACCTGAGCCCATCATTGCAGCCACTATGTCAGTCCATCTTATTGAGGGCCTTCCCCTTTCTTGCTGACCCTTCACTTTACCAAGCATTATGTACTTCTCCAGGGAATAGTTCTTTCTGACAATAGGACCAAAGAAGGTGAGACTAACTCTGGACATTCTCACTTCCAAGGAGCAATCCAGCTGCACTTCTTCAGGGACAGATTTGTTAGTTCTTCTGGCAGTCCACGCTACTTTCAGTATTCTTCCCCAACACCACAATTCAAAAGCATCAACTCTTCTTCAGTCTTCCTTATTCATTGTCCAGCTTCCACATGCATATGAGGCGATCGAAAATACCATGGCTTGGGTTAGGCATACTTAGTCGTCAGAGTGACATGTTGCTCTTCAGCACTTTAAAGGGGTCTTTTGCAGCAAATTTGACCAGTGCGGTATATTGTCTGATTTCTTGACTGCTGTTTCCATTACTGTTGATTGTGGAACCAAGTAATATGAAATCTTTGACAAAGTCAATCTTTTCTCCATTTATTGTGGGTTTGCTTATACGTTTAGTGGTGAAGATTTTCATTTTCCTTATGTTGGAGGTATAATCCATACTACAGACTTTAGTCTTTAATCTTAAGTGCTTCAAGTCTTTTTCATTTTCAGCAAGCAAGGTTGTGTCATC